GACAATAATTTAGACTAGAAATATGTCTCTAAGTATTAAATCAGGGGAGAAGGAATCCAACTTGTTAAAGGATGCAGTGATTTACAAAAGAAAAATTACAGTACATACATAGGTTTTTTTCTTGGCCTTAAACACCACCAAGTTCTGTACTGATTTGATTAATTAGCATTTGTAATATTTTCCTACAGACAACAGGGGGAAACCACATTATGGCTGTGACACGAATAATTGCTTTCCTACATTTACTTACTTTCGCAGTAATAAATACGCATAAGGCTCGGTTTAAGAATTTCACAATATACTTAAATTTCTGATCAAGCTGATTTGAATTAAGTCCACCATGCTAACCTTTTTCAATAGAACTTTACAACGTACTATAAAACTGTTGTTTAAACAATGCTTCCCATAATTGCCACCAATAAATGATACCTTTTTATTGCTGCTAGAACACTCTTGGTTACCAGTTTCCAGAGATCGCTGCAGTAATCTGTACGGAACTTTGTGTTATGTTGTTAATAATTGTATGGTTTTTCCTTTTAGAATTCAGAAACTGAAAAAGTTTAAGAAAACATGCAAAATGCTGAGGATACACGTAAGTGAAATATTTAATGTCCATAATTCATAAAAGTTACATTGTTTACACAGGGTTCATTAGTATATAATAAAAATGTCATCTTAATGAAAGATTTTCTGGCAAGTCTTTTATATGTTAATTTGTTTAACATACGCTTTGGCTATACAGCTAAATAGGAATATATTTTAAAAAATCTTTCTGCAAATAGTTGCTTAACAATTACAAAACCTCATTACTAAGAATTGGTTATTGTTACACTTGCTTGTTGGCTTGTAAAAATCATCTGTGATTTGGGCTGGAAATCTTAGGACCAACTTTTTGTAACATACTTGCTCATTGCATAGTGACCATGTAAACAGCTCAGGGATCCACAAATTATATCCTTATATTCTAAAAGTCATTGAGGATTTTACATACTGTACTGTTTATGTTTTCTTATATTGATGAAGAATTTGGGGATTGTTTTATTGTTGATGCTGATGGGAATTTTTTTTTAAAAACATGTCAGTTTTATACAAGAAGTTAAAAAATTAAAAACACCAAAGGAAATAATTTTACACTGTGCAACAGTATTGCTACCTCATTCTTTGTGGTTTTAGATATATATAACATATTGGAACTGCACTGTACTGCTTCTTTTCAAAAGAAAAGTTTAAATTAGTTGGAACAATTAGCTATGTGTTTACATAAAGTTAACTATGTTTGCATCAAATAAAATGTTTATTAATGAAAGCTATTATACAAGAAACATCAAAGAGAAATTCATCATACAGAAATGTACACTATATGTGACAGATGGAAAAGTGCATGCAGATTTGTCTCATTTAAAAATAAAAGAATTCAGAAACAATAGGACTAAAGTTACTGGGTTTTGATTCCTATGATCTCGAATGAGTGAAAAGTTCTCTTTGAATTTACAAAAATCCATTTAACAGATATGACTAGTACACATTAGCAAGCAAGTGGAATGAATGCACTCAGGTTTTATTTTACAAGTACTTGTGCTTGACAAATGTGATTTTTTTTTTTAAAGAAAAGTTTTCTTCGAATATGGGCTGGGTAGATTGCTGCCAGGTTGCTCTGGTTTTATACAGTTTCTCTAAATTTGTTTTTAATACCACACAATTTGTTGAAGCCTTCAGTTCTGTTAATTAGACACCATAAAATAACATATGTTTTGTTAACATTCAGGAAATGACATCAAGTCTTTTATTTTTATTTTTTGGCTCAATAGATTTTTAAATGTATGATTATCATAACCTAATATTGTCTTTGTCTTCACTGCAGTGGATTTCCGATCAAACTTTTCCCCTTCTTTTAATACTTTAGGGAATTTTCAAACGTCGGGATGTTTGGCTGTAATGCCCCATGATTTGTTCTCCCTGAAAGAAATCATAGTGACAATTTATTAAACTACAGAGCAACCTGGCTTTTCAGGGTCTGCAATTCTATTTTGTGTTCAATATACCTAGCATTAAATCTTGATTCATTTCATCATATTATTTAGGTTATATTTGTCATGCAATTACTTTAGCTGCTAGTTTTCTGGCTTTTTTAGAAGTCTAAGACAGGGTTTCAGTATCAAATCATTGGGGCATTACTTTGCATGTTCAATAAAGGGGGTTAAAAGGCTAAAATCTAAATTGCACCAGCAGTAGCATATACATTGAATATGAAGAAATTGAAAACCTAAGAAGGAACCATATTTTAAAATATTTAAAAGGCCGTGTTTCTGTGTTTAATACCAATTGTTCACAGGTACCATAAAAGCAAAGAGACACACTGGTACATGTAGACTTTAAATTAAAAAAAAAAAAAAAAAAAAAAAAAAAAAAAAAAAAAAAAAAAAAAAAAAAAACTGATGGGAAATAAAACTCCTTAGATTCAAAATGGTTTATTCACACAAATTTAATAGGATATATCACAATTGTTTGGTCCATAAATATTTAGGGGAAATAGTTTCTATACAATGCATTTATCAATAAACAAAGAAACATGGACAATTTTGCTAGACCACTTACTGTACTATAAACACGAAGCTCAATATATAAGATTATTGGATTTATCAACTATATCTGAAAGAGTGCACAACTGCTTTCTATGACATGTTTGTCCCCTCTAACAGGATACACCATAAAAAGAGTTTCAGAAATAAGAGGTAAAACAGTACAAAACTAGTGAGGTGTCAAAAGGGCTTAAAACAGTTAATTTAACAAACAACACATATATCCTGATTTTTCACAAACTTACTCCCAAGGTATATCATAAGGCACATAGTAGAACTGAGTTTTAATTAGTCTACTTAATAAAGTAGATCTCTAGTACCATATATTGTTCTGTCAAAGAACAAAATTTATAAGTATCAATATTTTTACCTGTAAAAGTGTATTAATAAAGATCTCAGCCTTACCAAGGTCGTTTGGTCTGGTTAGTGGTAAATGCCCATAAGGTAATAGAAATAGGAAAAGTCAAGATTTAATATCCGTAGAAGATGATAACCATACTTGCTAAATATATAATGGCAAACACACCTTTCTTCTATTACAGTGTTAACATCTCTTCCATCATCTTTTTTTTAAAAATAAGCTACTTTTCTGTGCTAATTTTCTAAAAACCCTGAGCAAAAATTACAATAATGCACTTTAATGTGGGCAGTGAACTGTCAATATGTAACCACACATTTATACAGCCAAAAAGGACACCTTTAAAATATATTAAATAGCCACTTTGACCACCAAAAAAGAGATTTGATGGTGTCTAAAAAGTGGGGTATATGTGCAAAGTTATTCTTAACAATCCACTAAAAGCAAGACATAGATCTTGACTGGTTTTTGTTCGGTTTTGTTTCTGAGACTCTCCACAATCTAATTGGTGTTCAACTACAATAAAAGGATACAAATGAACATTCACCACTGCCCAGACCATTCAGACTTTTAGCTTAAATAAAATTAAAAAAAGAAAGATCACTATTGTAAACTAAGAAATGTATTCAGATCAGCATCCACAAGGCTTCTGAGTTTATCTGCTTTAAAATTTTTCACTGCCAATTCCCATTTTTGTAAGAATTTTTGCTGTTTTTTTTCTTTTATACAAAGTTTAAAAAGTTAATGTTATAGATATTAATGAACTAAAGATTTTAAGTTCATGTGTTAAACAAAGTGTCCGATACAATCTCAAGAAACACCTAAAGAAAATTCAAAATAGTAATGAATAAATTGTACTGAAATATTTTTCCTAAACATCTTAATAAATTATATTTTGCTTATTTCCATTTCCCTCCAAAAATAAGTATGAGTTATCCAAAACTCATTTTAATAGTACACACGCATACTTCTTGGAAATTATTTCTGTGCTCACTAAAGTAGCTGGGCAATCTCCTGCTTGCTTTAATGGTACGGCATTGAGGCCATGTATTGAGCTGCACTTATTTTTTTTAATTCCAAATCAGAGCTGCTTGACAGACAAAAATGAAGAACCCTCCCTGCGCGATATTTCAGAACAGTAGGACTCCTCACTTGAGTTGTTATTCTGCTGTTATTACTTGAATAATATCCTTATAGGAGTGAGTTCACCCTGGAGGGCATTTTCCGGATCTTGCCTCCTTAATGTACAGGACACAAATTTGGAGACCAACAGCCTGATCCTGCCACCCTCACCCACATGCACTCTCATCACTGGGTCTCTCTCTCCAAGCCCTCCATCCAGGCATAGCTTTCAGTCGTGGCCAAGGACGTCCCAGCTGGGTGAAGAACTGGCAGAGGAACGTTTAGCTATCCCAGTGAGACTCCCCAGTGCTCGGGGAGGGTCAGGCTCGTGACTAATGCATTAGAAAAAAGCACCAGCACTTGCAGTCTGACTGTTTCAATGATGAGTTTAATTCAGTTTGGATTTATTTTTCAACATTTAAAAAATAAATCATACAAAACTTTTAGATGCATTATGAAAATAAAATGAAATTTGGGGTTCTTAAATGCTGTGAGTGAACATACAATCCTGAAATAGCATTCTTTTGGCTATAATTAAACTGATTTTTATCTGGTTATCAAGGAGGGAAAAGAATCTTCTTTTTTGTGTGTGTGTGTGGTAGTAATCATTTTTTTCAAGGTTCTGGAAATAAGTAACATACAATTTTAAGAGGCACTTATTAGAATGATTCATAACCTTCTCTTCAGTTATTTGATGAATTTAAAAAAATTTGAGTACAATTTAACAACAATAGATGTTCATTTATTATAGCAACATATTACTTCAAACTCATTTGCCAAGTGGCTGCAGATGCTACACATCAAGCTGTTTATCTTCCCAAATATTTTGTGGGTTTGTTATTTTAAAAAAAAAAGGCTTGAAAATAATAAAAATAATAATTATAATAATAATAATAAAGAAGAAGAGTAAGAATTAAAAATAAAAAAAAAAAACTGAAATGTTAGAAAAGGTTCGTTAAGGTAGTTTGTGAGGGGCTCCCGGATTCGTGGCTGTCCAAGTTAGAGGTCACTGATGTCACTACAGTGATAGTGGGATTGGTCAGGTCTGTTAAAGTGGTCGCAGTGCCGGGTGGAGTGAGTGCGCCGCTGTCTGCTGAGGGCGGTGCCGGAAGTGAGGTGCCATCAGCTTTATCGACACCCCCATTCTCCTGCCGCAAAAGGTTCCTTCTGAATTTGGCTCTTGCGTTTTGAAACCAAACCTGCAAACCAATCCCAATTGATTTCTTTACCGATGCTTGTTTTGTTTTGCTTACTTTTGTCTTTGTTCTTGCTTTTAAGTCATTTTTTGATGTTTGTTTTTGTGTGGCAAATCGACTAAGTCACTCTACAGCTTCCCTTGCCACTGGTGGTACTCTTTCACAGGCAGGACCCTGCATACAAGGCCCAGCACTACGGGTGCTCACTGGAACGTTGCAACCCAGTGTGTGGACCTCATAGAGCAGTCTTAAGAAAAATCTGCTTGCTCACTCACCCAAGAAAAGCAACTTGCTTGGTGGCCATGTAGCATATTCTTGGGTTGGGTAGGTTTCAGGTCAAGAGACATGATAAAGATCGAGGTGAAGGGTGAATGAGCAGATTTTTACCAAGGCTGAAAGTTTGTCTTGATGGTTTTAGAAGACTGAAGAAGAAGGAGGGGTAATTACACCATCCCTATCATACAGGTTGTTGGTATGGGTCACCTAATCTTTCTGTTCTGTAAGATTCACTGAAAATGTTTTAGGTGACATGTAACATGGACGAGGAATTGCCGCTAAGAGATTCTCCTTCTATCTCAATCGCTGCCCTTCTTTGGCACTCTGCATATACCACACACCTCGCTTTACCTTCACTGAGCTAGCACACACTGTATAGAGATTTTTTAAAATGTATGTTGCTAGGCTGTTCTTCACAGGGAAGTGACTTTTTGCTGTGTAGGCCCTTAATGATAACAGTTGTCTACCAGGCATTGAGAGAGGGAGCCATTGGTCAAAACTTGCTTCCTGCATATCAGGGAATCTGCTCACTGAGGGGCCACGTAAAGTACTCCAGGGGAGCCCAAAGGCTTCACCCAGTGTCTATGAAATCAGTAGATTCACTACCTCTACCCTTAATAAGGTCACCACAGAGAGACTACAGATCCCAGGATATCTTCTGGGTTGGTAGACTCTGGAGACAGTTTCCTCATGTTGAGGATGCAACTAGTTACAAATCACATTTTAGTGTTTGGCTGCCTTGGGGCGGTAGGGCGTACGTTTGGCATCCCTGCCATGTAATACCATACCCCTCTGCACACTCACTAGGGACATGCCTAGCAAAAGTATTTCTACATATATCGCTATTGTTACACATAAGGGAAATGCTATTGACTGGCAGGGGTAGGGGAAAATTCTATTAAGCCTGTGATGTGGCTTCTTACCTGCAGAACTCTCTTGGTCAGGCCTGTTTTCTGGGCAAGCTGCTTGAGGTCCTTGGCATCTGGGTTGTGGTTGATAGCAAAGTAGGACTTCATGGTACGAAGCTGGTGGTGTTTGAAGGAGGTGCGCATGCGCTTTGTCTTCTGGGATGGGGGATAAGGCTGCTGGTCTCTGTCCAGGTGATCTGCCTCATTCTCGTTACAACCTGTGCAATAAACAAAATGAAACAAGGAGTTAGTGGCCATGTGTCATGCAGGATGAATTAATCAAGGCAAAAATCTTGAGTCACGTACTGTGTGGAAGGAAATAAGCAAGGAAGGAAGGGCTAAGATGGTGCAAGGATAAGTGCAGATGTGGTAACTAAATGAGACAAAAAAGATCCAGAAGATGACCTTTTCCTATTCTTAAAACACACGCCGTCCCCTGGGCCTGTACCTACTAAGGGCACACTTAGGAAGTTCTCTCTCCTTTGGCATTTATTTTCAAACAAGTCTTTTCCCTGTGGTGATGGTTTTGCTTTAGGCGTTCAAAGAGTCATCTGAAATTTCATTCAGATTTTGAAATCTCACTCATTGAAACACTCTTAGCTTGAGAGGAGAATAAAGGTCAAACGAGCATTTTGAATGTTCCTGAGCTTTTCCCCCAAATCACAAGCACCTATAAAAAGAGATGTACAGCAGGAAACTTTGTTATGACAGTTCATCAAGAAAGCATAAAATCTGGAGGGTTTTGCTGATAAAATAAATGCTTTTGGACTCTGCCTGGGAGTTTATATGAACTACTCAAAGACCTTCGTCTGTAAAACATGCCTAGAAAGCAGTTGTGTCAAGGCTTGATTCAGTCGCTCTATCTCAACCCCAATCAGCAGTAGCTCTTGGTTGGTACCGATTTAGGAAGTTTCTATAAGCAGCCAACTAGTGGCTGAAAACTTTGAAAGAGTTTCCGTGATTCAGGATTTTCTATGAAAGATGAGTTTGTTTCAGATGACACTTTTATGGGTGTCAATTGTACGCAAGAGTTGCAGCTGTTCGGGGACCATTACTTCATACTGGGGAAAGGAATGACAGTATTGGGAAAAAAAAGAAAAAAACAGACAGCCATCTATATTTTTCTTTCCAGCTTAAAAAAATTGGGTTATGAATCTATAAGATCTCATTCTATAAAGATATCTCAGTCACACAGGAGAAAATTAATGGCATCATCATAGCAGGGAATATTAATTAAAGAATAGCTAATTAAAAATGCTTCAGAATGTCTGTAACCTAGACCAAGTTTCATTAGTTGCTCATTTGAGTTTTTGAACTGCTTTCCAACAGCTATCAGATTATTTACTAGGCCTAGTTGATCCCTATTTCTAAAAAAAAAAAAAAAAAAAAAAGGAGAGAGAAGGAGAAAGAGGAAAAGCACACGATACAGAGAGACCGATGTTGACAGTGCTAAAAACAGAGGCAAAGCAACTTGAAACCGGGAGAAAATAAAAAGCTTCTTGAAGGTGTTTTCTCTTTTGAATCATAAGACAAGTCAACATGAACAGATGCTGGTAAGACAACACTTTGACAGAAAATCAGGTGAATATTTAATTATAGCTAGATTTGCTTCTAGTCTTGGTAAGAAGTATATCCACACTTTCAAACAAAGTAAGCTGACACTTCTGAAAATACCAGGAGTTGAAAGTTGCCTTAAAAACAATTTCAGACCAGATTTGGATTGTATTTACTACTTGTTTTCACAAGCAATCACACCGCCTTCAGTCAAACTACGTGGGCTGTAACTTATGAGCTGACATAAATCAGAGTACCAGAATTCGGTCCTCAGGTTTTACTTCAGACAGTTGCAAGCTGTTTATTTGTGATGTTTTCCTTGGGTCGCCCAGGTTTACAGCAGCAATGCGAACTTCCTCAGGCTCCTCTGTCCTGCTTACTGCCTTTGTTTCTGTCATCTACTTTTTTTTTTTGGTCTGCAATCTACTTTATTTTGGCTTTTATTTTCAAGAGAAAATGGGAAGAGGGCTCCAAGCATCCTCAGACTATCCTAGTTTATACAGCAACTAGATCGCTCTCTATTTTACGTGGGTGAAACAGCATTATGCGGTTTGGCCACATTATAGAGCAGAGTTTTACACTATTGCCTGGAGAACTAAGGGGAAGCAAAAAATCGGGCAAGACATTATCGCTCACTTCTTTGCAGTGGGATCAGGGAGTTGTTTAATTTTGCTTTGGAAAGAGCTAGAACAGTTTGCATTTTATTGCCAAGAATTCTTCAAGCAAACTCCTCATAGTTTTTCACACACACACACACACATATATATAATGAAATAAAGTAAACAGCTCTTTGAGCAACAGCTGTGTAAAATATTTTCCTAGGGAAATCTTCTTCACCATCTCATTTCTATATCCTGTGGGCTGTAAGTCAACACAGTTTCCCTCAAAATACATATTAATTCTATGATATAAGAGGTAATATAGAGAAAGCCTTGAATGTTTTAAGTACTTTTGAATAGTTTCTTCCATTTTTCACATTAATTCCAGACAGCTCGCAAGTCTGAATGGCTTTTACCTCATAACATTTTGAGTTATTTATTGTCGCGTTTCCACTTTACAACCGAGGAGCTGAGAAACCAGAAATTAAACTACTAAACAAAATACAGAATAGAAAAGCTGTTGTAGATCCGGCAGCAGAACCTGCTTTTCCCTTCTGGCCCTGCGCTCAGCTCCCCTGACCCCAGGCGCGCACACGAAGCGGGGCCAGGGGCTGGCGGACCGCTGGGGAACACACGCGTGTTTACCCTCGGCTCGGTGAAGTTGTTAGCTTCATCGGGGCTGCGTTTTTAAAGGTCGGGTTCCTTTTCCGTAATGGCTTGCTGCACCGATGCGGGCACCCCGGGGTATGCCTGGTTGGGCAGCAAACCGCCCCGCTCCCCCGGGGAAGTGAA